GATGGATGGATGGATGGATGGATGGATGGATGGATGGATGGATGGATGTGACACTCCCTCTGGCCTGTACAGTCAATGGTTTGGTGCAGATTAGAGTCATACAGCCACTTTGTCCTCTCTTGCAGCTAGTCAACCCACTGCTGTTGTAACTGGCTCTCAAGATCTGGCAGATCAATCCTGGGTTGAAGTTGATGTCTGAGCTGATCTCACACTTTTGCTTTAGAAAAGATTAGGGGAGCTGGCTGGCCATGGGGGACCTCAATAGGATGAGGACAGTCCACAGACATGTGCTGTGTGTGGACTGGTGGATTCTTGTAAAAGACCTTATCAGAGTGCTGTCTAGGTTAAGACACACAGAATGTCAGTGACGTTACAATTGGGGCAGCTGTGGTGCAGTGGTAGGACAGTCGTCTTGGGACCAGAAAATCACAAATTCAGTCCCCTGCCAAGCCTGCATATCATGGTGTCCTTGAACAAGACACCTAGTGCCTAAGTTCCCTGGGTGCTTAGATAGATGCCTGCTGCTCCACTTGGGTGTGTCTCATATGTGATGGGTCAAATGCAGAGCACAAATTTCATCATTACATGGGAACATGCAATGATGACAATACATAGCACGTTACACTACTCCATCAAGATCYCCTAAACKAAATGGCTCACYCATGTTTAGTTACAGTCCCCAGGGGCTGTTGTATGTTAACACAAAGACTGTGGTACTGCAGAACAGAAATTCATCAATTAACACAGTACAATACCCCTTGTCATCCGTCTATGCCTCCTGATTATGGCAGCTTACGCATAGGTCAGTGAACTGTCCCATGTGAACTATGCAACCCAGTTGGTGAAAGACAGAAACTGATGAAGCAGTACTTGTTTCCAGATMGCAGGTGCTGATATCATGGAGTTCTGTAATGCCTGAAACCTTCACGATGTGTGTGGTGCCCTAATAACCTTTACTATATTTATAGGTYATTTGACTTTGTAAAATCCTTGTTAGTGGAACAGTTGTAATGTTGGCAGTATTTTCTCACAGTCTCAGCCAGCAGAAGCAGAGATCAGCTCACTGCAGCCACCTGGCATAAACAAACACAGCCACAAAGTTCTGACCAGTCACACAATGCTCAACACACAGTGCTGTGTGAACTACTCCTGACTGGGACAATGCACCAGATGGAGTCTCTTAATGTTTTGCCTCATCTTTTCCTGCTGCACCTGCTCGACATTGTGCATGTTCATCCCAGAGGGCTGTTATACCTAAACCATCCTAAATAATTTAACATTCACTTACTGGTGKTATTGATCTTTCAGTTCAGTCAGAGCATCAGTCAATCAGACCAGAACATACTGGTTTTACTGCATCAGGATGAAACAATTATGACAGTGTGAGGTTGGTTTTGTACTTACAAAAGGACTCACTTGTAGAGATTATGCATGGCCTAATTTTAGAGATTGGACTGGAACAGTCACAAAACCTTTGCTCCATGTTGCCATGATAACTCAGCCATGCCGCTTGACCCTGTAACAAGACCTCCCTTCAAGTAGTTAACCTCAGGAGATTGCTCAGTGGCTTTGGCAGTGATAATGTCATTACCTTTGTACTGACCACGCTGTTGTGATCTGTAATCCCCACAATCACTCACATGCAACACACGTCAGGACTGTTGCTAAGTGGATGACTTCATGAGAGTCATTCAGTATAAAAGGCAACATGACTTGACCTAATGGAACATAATGTTCCTTTTCCCTCTTCAGGATTTAGGATGAGAGGAATAGGTTTGTGTGTCAGGGTGTACAAATTGGGTTATCTGCAAACGCATCCTCAGGCATCCTGAAGCTCTGATGTTGGATCATTGAAGCACTGCACTAAAAACAACACTGACCAAACACGTGCTTCTGTACAACGAATACCAGACAATCTCTGTAGCTGTTCCTCTCTTCCTGGTAAAGAATAGTGCTGAGTGATAATCTGTTGCAGCCAGCTGTGTGTTACATCATCCCTGAGGCTTGACACAAACGCACGACGCAGCAGAGAGCGAGTTGTGGAGCTCTGCTGGTGAATATCATTCTGTTAAAAGACTGAAAATAAAACCAACGGTTGCCTCTTTTATTATTAGATAACTTTGTCCTGAAGCAGCTGCGTGTGGCTCCACACACATCCATACAGCATTTTCACACTTTGTTCACAGGGGTCCGATTTTATGCATAAGGTTTKTAATTACATACAGCATTTGGTTTTGTGTATCTTTTACTGTCTACTTAGTAAGGTTCTCAAGTGTCTGCAGCCGCCCCTAACTGAAGCTTCAGTGTTTCGGATTAAAGGCCATTACGTGAAGTTCCTAAAATGARTATAGAAACTGAAAATGTCTTGTTAATAAAAACACTAGAGTGTTTAGACAAGGGAAGATATGAACTAACATACCTTTTTGTGCTTCTAATCTCTGCCAGAGGCCATTCTCAGTGTCAGATAACTGCAGCGGTACTGCTGGTAATGTAGATTTGAATAAATAAATAAATAAATGTGAGGTCTTTAAAAGGACAATTAATCTATGAATACATTGATTGATTTACCAAAGAACAGTGATCAGTCCAGAGATAGGGTGAGAAGCTCAGTCATCCGGGAGGGACTCAGAGTAGAGCCGCTGCTCCTCCACGTCGAGAGGAGCCAGTTGAGGTGGCTCGGGCATCTGGTAAGGATGCCTCCTGGACCCCTCCCTGGTTAGGTGTTTCGGGCACATCCCACCGGGAGGAGGCCCCGAGGAAGACCCAGGACACGCT